CAAGAAGCTTGAGGAAGAAATCTGTGAAACAAAACAGTCTCGCATTCGGGAAGGGGAAGCAACCAAGAAACATCGGGAAGACATTTTAAAATCAAAGCATTCCTCGGAAGAGGAAGCAAAAATGTACAAGTTAACTTTTCCAAGTTTCAAGAGAAAAATGGTAGAGGCATACGGAGAAATTTTTTATTACAAAGGCGGGTCTTGGCACGGAGAAGAGTCGAGGCGATATCGGCATTATCACATACGGAAATCGATGCGATTTCTAAAGGAGAACATGAACAACAGTGATAACCAATGAATAGAACATGTAGTTTTTGTAGTTAGCTGTTTTAAAAGGAGGCATGCAAAAAGTTCTGTGTAATTTTATTAGGAATTAAAAGTGAACTGAACAGTTACGGCTGCAAGTCATCATACTTGCTGTAAATTTTGTCCGCATGTAACGGCCATCTTGGAAACATTAGGGAACCTGTAAGCACATCTTTGTAGAATTCAGCGAATCTTGACAACTCTAAGCAATGAATAGATGCGACATGACTCAATAAATGCGATATAACATTACCTGGTGTTGCTTTCGTTCTTTTAAGTTTGTTTTTTCGCCTTTTGTAAGCGATTATTTGAAAACTTCATCTCATCCTCTTGATCTTTTTCATCTTCGCATCCGTAGATCGGAGGTCTTTTCCAACAACTAAAGTTCGTTTCCACTAAGGAAAGACACGCAGACAGTTCTGAATAAAGCGAAACAATTAACTAACCCCGATTCAAAGTCATTTCACACAAGCTTAGCTTGAGGTCTGAGCAACCAAGCAAAGTAGCTTGCACCGAGATCACAGCAGCTGGTTCCGTCGTCAATGGAAGACTGTTTTAGAAGAGTTTAGAAGAATCATCGAGTTATCCCATGTAAAATTTGCAAACACTTTCAAATTTTGTAAATCATGGCTGTAAATCAATCATCTGCCTTTTCAGAACAATTTCGTAAGCTCGAATCAACACTTTGCGTTTTGGCACGCAGTCAAGACAAATGCAAATTTTTCCAAGAATATGACCGGAAGAGATCAGTATTGCGAACTCAGTATCCTGGAGTCCAGGCCTTCCCTTACTCTCTCCCTCCCACTCCCCAAAGGGCCTAAGAGCTATCGCGCGCAATAATTACTACGTGTCTAATATGTGTCATGTAATGCTGCGCAAAACTGTGGCGCAACGCGGTAGCACGGAGTTTAAACTCGGACTTTCTCGAGAGACGGACGAGAACCAGAAGTTGAATTTTCTCTTCTTTGGTGCGTATTATATATAAAATTAGAGC